AACTTTTTCTGTTAAGGCATCTAAAGATAAGACTTAGTTCTTCTGGAAGAAAATCCGTGGGAGTTCTGCCTTGGACAGAGTCAGGATATAAGCTCTCGTTAGCAAGGTTCTTAGTTTAATTTAAGCACAAACTCAAATGTTGCCTGGAAAATTCCCTTTGAAAATGTAGCTATCTAATTAACCTTTTCCCCCACCCACCCACTGCTTCCCAGATACATAAAGAACTAAAAAATATTCTTTGAATTTTTGCAAATCTTATTCTGATGAGCATGGAACGAGTGTGAAAGTCTATTGCCAACTTTACTTCAAACCTCTCCAATCTTAAGTCCCACAGTTTGGAATCTGGGTTTATAAAAAGCTTCGGAGTCTAGGGATTTCTGAAGTACTATTATAGCTGTGTAATACAACTGTAAAATGTACATACCTAATATAAAACAATGGCATCTGCAGTGTATACAGTCAGAGCACACTAGCAATCTATGTAAATGTATTCATCTTTTCCATTTTGTGCAACAAATCGAGAAACCTTCTCATACTGAAAATGATAAGTTGGAGGCCTGCACCTCCTTGCTCTGCTTGTCACTGCAAAAATACCTTTTTATGCTCTACCTCCAGTAGAGATGTTAGCACATTTTTGGCTGAAGGAATAATGAATGTTTTGACTCAGCCTTTGACTTAACTTGAGACGTAACTTGGAAACCAAATTCCCAACTCCCACAGTTGCGCTGATGCTGGCCCTACTTAAGGAAGTCCTTGAGCAGCTTTCTGTCATGCAAAACTCAACGTGCCTCCATGTAGAAGGACACAGAAAGGACATATATTTTGCATGCTTGTGTGTATCGTACCATGGAGTGCTTCAGAGCTCTGAGTATACACGAGCTATTAAATCTGTAAGAGGTTGTGCCTTCGTGGTTTTGCATACTTTACCTCGTCATAACTTTTCTCAGAGAAGATGCCATTGAAGCAAATTTCGTCTCAGCATTAAGTCCTGTCTAATTTTGCAGCCAAGCTTTTAAGAAGCATGGAAACAGAGACTGCGCAGCTGTGTTGGTCAGAGCAAATACAATCTCCGCTCTTGTCGAAGTACCATGAGGTATTTACATCTCTGCCTAGTGGAACTGACCTGTTAGTGAAAGTGATTTTCTGATTTCTGCATTTTACATTAATTGTACTAAGTTTTTATCATCATTATACCTTTCCTTTAGATATTTCAAAGCTGTGCCAGTTTTCACATGTGCACAGCTGCGCGCATGGCTTGAATCTACAGCATTCCTGTAGATTGGGCACACTCCGTTTTTACAGATGGAGGAGCTGGGGGTCACAGAAGCTGAATAACCTGTCAGTTGTCACTCATGAAGTCTTTCAAAGAACTGGAAAAAGAGCGAAGGAGCAGACGTGAGGCTGGTCCCCATGCCGAGGGACGGGCACTCGCTACTGGTGACCCTCGGTGACCCTGGAGCCCATCGGTCTCGGTGGAGAATCCTTATGGAGCAGATCACAAATAGGTTGTAGAGGCTAAATCCTTAAAATGACGGGGCTGCGCTTTATATGCATGTATGGCGATGTGTTAGGAACCAGCATAAATTTTCTTGGACAGATGGTGTATTGCGGGTTTTCAGGAAAAGGTTAAAGGAATGATGATGCTGTTAAAAGCTGCATTGCATTTATGGCAGTGCGTGGAGCGCACGTTGATGAGAATGCAAGTGTTACGAGTTACATTTTAATAACACCAACCACAGCTGAAAGCAGTCTGCGCAGAGCTTGTCATTAAACGTAGTGAATAGCCTCTTTAAGTTTATACTATTTTTATGATTTCCAGGAAAACAAAATACAACAGGAGAAGGTTTTGGAAGTCTGATTAAAATCTGTTTTTATCTGCCTATCTACAGGATCCTGGTTTCTAACAAATCGGCTATATTCAGGGTTTGTCCATGAATGTTGTAGCAATTCCACCATTTTTTATTATTTTTTCCCTGTGTTTCTGGATGATTTCTTCTTCGAGTTGGCATTTTGGATTTGGGAGGTTTAACAGTGTTGTTTTCTTTTGGCAGTTTTATAATGCAAGCAGCAATAAATGGGCAGGGTCTTTCTTCCAAGCGAGCAGAGATTCACCTGCCCAAGCCTCCATTTGACATGGTCAGTCTGAGTTTTAATGGATTTTTGTGCTGTTTGCACTGCCAACACCATCCTTTGTTGCCTTCTCTGTACTTGTCTACTTACAGTTCACATCTCCTCCTGGGGAATCAGTCAGTCCTTTGCCCACAGATGTGTCACAGCAGAAACACTGGCACTTCTGACCTGGTGTGTGGCTAAGCCTTCAGGCAGCCCTAGTGCTCGAGCTGGAATTCCTACCTGACTTTTGTGGGAAGGAAGGAGCAAGCTGACACCTAGGCCTTCTGGATAAAAGAGGCGAAAGGATGGCCTCCTTGTTGGAGAACATCTGACAAGATGACAGGTCCTGTCACATTAGTCATGGTGCCACAAATGGGATTTTTATGAGTTACACGGCCACTGCCAACAGGGTGCCATTTATTGAGCATCCCGCAGAGATGTTCAATGATAGGCCTTCAAAGCAAATGATAGGCCTTCAGTAGCTGAGAGGTTTAAAAAACGAATACAATCACTGTTTGACATGCATTGCTCACAAAGAGCTCTTTTTAATCAATGTGTTCATAATAAGGCCCCAGTTTAGCAAAGCACTTGCTCTGAAAACTGGTCCTCCTGCTTGTGTGCCTGTATGTTGAGGAACAGATGGTAGCGCACTTGCGTCGCGTGCCTCAAAATGGTACCGTCAAAATAATTCAATCTACCTCAGTCTACCTAAGAGAAGCTAAATTTGGTCTTGTTGCTTAGTGGCTTTCCATGTATTTTCCTATCCGCACAGGATCTTTGTCTCCACAGGAAAAAGTGCTGACATGTTAAGGGCTTTGACTCACAGAGAGGCTTCAGATGAAGGCTCTCTTCAGAGGCTTCCATGAAGGGCTTTCTGCCATCTCCTCAGCAGTGTTTGCAGTTAACTGTGCTTGGGAGGAGCTGCTCGAGCTGCTCATGAGGAATATGAAGAGCTGACAGAGTGCTCTGGGGCCTAAAGTTTGAGACCTTCAAATCTAAGGACCAAGTGGAGTGACATAATTAAGGGCTAAGTTGTCAATCACAAGCGGAACTGCTGCTGTCACCCTTAAAAGGCAAATATACCCCCAAATAGGGCCGACATTCAGTTATTATCAAAATATTCCCATTCACAGAATCCTTGTGTATAGATGTGTTTATATATTCTTGCTGTGATTGCAGGTCATCGCTGCGGGCTGTAGCAGTACGTACAGCCTAGGAGAGAAAGAAACCTATGCCAAAGGGGTGAAAGAGGGTTAAACCAGGCAGACATCCCTGTTCACCTTTAGGTTGGGAAGAATGACAGGCCCTTTTCCCAGCTGGCCGTTTCGGCCAAAGCAACCAGCCTGGGGCTTGCAAAGGTAGAGAGGAAACAGCAAATGATTTCTCACCTCCCAGGGAAATTTAGCAAACCTCTGTAACCTCCGTGCCTTAAATAAAAGCGAATGTAATCGGTCAAGTAATGCACCATGGCTAACTGAGGATCTGCTGTGTGTTCCTCCAGATTTACTCTGCAGTGCAAACCAGCATCATTTTTGAGTCTTTTCCCTTGTCCAATCCCCGTGTCAGGAGCACAGCTCCTATGTTTACCTCCGTCTGCTGAGCTTGTCCTCAGCGAAAGCATCGACTTGTTTATCCGTGAAACCTCCTTCGTCTCAGAGCGCTGCCCCTGTCCTTCTCGCAGCGCCTCCGACTGGATTATCCGGCCTCCCCGCAGCGCTTACGTCCTCCCTAGCATTTTGTGAGGCTCGACAATAAACCGCAGTGTGTGTTTCTGGCAGCTTTGAAATTCCTCAGTCCCTGCACAGAATCTAGTTTGTCACATTAGCAGTAGTAGTATGTTCACATTAGTGCAGGAATTGAACGTAATCCGGTAGTGATCTTGTTCCCTGGGCTTTTCCTAATATTAGTCCAGGCTGAAAAATACTGCCTTTTATAAGAAACCAGGAACTCTTAAATGATACTAGCTCTTTTCTGAGGGCTGAATTCAGTCATGCAGGACAACTTTGTTTCCTCTGTGTTTGCCTTCACGTGCTGTGTCTTGAGGCCAGCTATAAAGCAGTTTTGCTAGTCTGAAAAACACATAGTGCATTTCTAGGAAATGCTGCAACATAACTTCATAGAAAGTAATAGAATTACCAAATAACCTGAAATGGTTTCTCACATGCTTACACTACCATGAAGTCAAATTTCTGGCTCTAATTAACAGAAGAAAAAGAAAAGGGAAAAAAAAGAGTATTTCAGTATTTCTTCCACAAAAGATATTATGTATTTATTCTTATAATGGACATAACCATGGAAAGAAAAGACTTGACAACTATATCTAAGTGGAATATATCTTAAAATTTAAATAATAAATGACTCTTTGGACATGAAGGAGAAATAAGAAAGCATCACCAAAATTGCATTATCTATTTCATGGCATAATGTTTAAGTCTGTTAATTCCAGGCACTCTTTTGAATTCTTTAGGAAGACAATAACTTATATTTGGAGCTGTAACTGCAATGCATTGAAACCATACTGAGTCTTTCTACAGAGAGCACTGGCCTTTGGCTACTCTGTATAATTTTGACTGGTAAAGCATCCTGTGTTTGTTTAGCTTACCAGCTGGGAGTTGGAAGGTACAGCCAGCATCTAGACTGCTTTTCATCTTTGCTGTGCTTTGGGAGACCTCAAAGGCTTTGAAGGGTTCTGGGTAGTGATTTTTTTTTAATTCTGAGTTAATAACTTTAGGTTACCTACTGTGATCATGCTTAAAATGTTAAAAATAATACAAGTTTTCAAAATTTAAGTATTACAGAAAGCAGTGAAAAAGTATTCACTGTTTTTTTTAATATAAATATTCCCAGAAGATATTAACTGTTTTTTCAATATGTTCACTTTCAGGATCCGAAACTGCGTGAATTGTTGGATGTTGGGAACCTAGGAGGTCGACTGGAAAATCGAATGATAACTGTCGTCTATGGTCCGGACCTGGTCAATATATCGTACCTGAACCTAGTGGCATTTCAAGAGGATATAGCAAAGGTAACACACATTGACCTGAGCCATGTAGAATTAATGTTTTTTAAAGTACTGCTTTGTAACATGGATAAGTAGGAGGAAAAAAAAACCCAGAGATTACTAAACTGCCTTTTCAGATGAACCTAAACTGTGTAATAGAGTTATGCTGCTCAGTATCAAAGGAGATATGCACAGTCATTATTTTCTGGGAGTATTTTCAGCAAATTCTGTCACTGGTGCATGTATTCATCTTTAGGATATTGCATTTTATTATATTTCTAAAACCCAAATGAGCATTGTGAATGAGCACAGGTTAACTTGGGTATGAGATATGTATTGTGACTCTCCACCAACAATTGGCATTTTTTCAGTAGTTATCACTCTTTAATACTTTTTCTAAGTGTATGTTGATTATGGATCATTTGTGAAACCAAAGCAGGTAACCAGTTGACTTTTTAAGACTGATCTGTATCAGAGTAGTAGGAGTTTGTTGATCTGCAGTTCTACTTTGTACATTCAAGTATAACAGCAAGCAGACACCTAATTTAACTTACACTCGTGGCCTTTTCTAATCATGCTCAAAGGTCAAATTTTAGTATGGATTTTGCTTACTGCCAGCCCTGGAAAAGAATTGTGAAGTAGATGTCATTACCTTATGAAAGTATTTTACGTAGTACATGTCATTTCTATCCAAGAAAATGCTTAATACACAGCTATGTGTGATAGGGAAGCTACTACAATAGATTTTAACACGTTTGTTTTGTTGCTGTCTGGCACTATCTGTACAGCACTGTGGGTGTAATGAAATAGGAAGTCTTTGATTTAGCTCTCCCACATTGGCATTCAGAAGTTTCCCCTCTTTTGCATTTCCATCCATATAGATCCTCATGATAGTCTCCAGACAGCCTCACAACATATGCTTCCATGTAATTTGCGTACTTGAGTACACTAGATTGCCTCAAAAAGAAAATTTGCCCATAGAATCCTGTTGTTTAACTACAGCAAAGAGTTCTTCAGTGCTCTTATTGTCTCCACATGCTTCAGGCAAAGGTTGTCTTTGATATGGGCTCTCACAGGCAATGGGGAAGATCAAAACAGGTGAGCTGGGTCATCCAAAGATGGCCTTCACCTGGGAGCATCTGCTTTTCCTTGCTGGTTTTCCAACTGTGCAAGTCTTCATTAGCTAATGGGTCAGCTCTTCCTAGGATGTGAGAGGATAGGGACAAATAAATTCATAGGGAGCCTTGGGCTGCTGTGTGGGACGTGCTGTCCTTAGGCTTTAAAATGTAGAGTTGTATTCTACAGGGGTGCTTGAGAAACCTAACAGTGTGTAAGGGAAAGCACTTGAAACAATTCTTCAGGAAAAGAAACTAAGCATATGGAGGAAATTGAAAAGGTATATTGAAACTTTAACAGCAGAAGTTGTTAACACTTACCAAGAAGATCGCGTAAGTCAGAAATTTGTCTCCTCTTTTTTGCTCTACTGTCTATCAAACATGCAGTAAACTGTAATCTATTTGCTTTTGGCAGTGTCAGACTAAGTCAGTTCTAAAATACTTATTTTAGGGCCATTTTCTGTTGGTAATGGGACCTAAAATTGCACTAGATAAAACTGTTTTAGAGAAGTTTTGCTGCTTTAAATCCTGGGCAACTCCTATGGTCTGAGCAACTGAGAATCTGAGTCTTTGTTGTTACTTGTAAGTGTGGTGGACTGAGCAAATCCATATTTTAGCAATTAAACATTTTAGCCCGAGGGTGTTACTTTCAAAAGCATCCAGATTAGCTTTGCTTGCTTTGAAATCATACTAAATATCCTGATTGTTTCAATGAGAACAGGGCCTAATCGCTATTGAATGCCTCTCAAAGTTCTTCTCTATTTAACAAGCCTTCCAACTTTATGCGAGCCAGGCCTTAGAATGTGACCCTTATAGCCTGCAGGCCTCATGTAGTGACTCAGAGAGGTCTTTGTAAATAAGCACATCAGGCACAAATCAGCACTTCAGCGAGCTCTGAGAAGGAGGGCAAAACAAGTTCCCCACATCACGCATGAAAACTGTGACCCTGACTCTCACTGCCGTTCTCGGGAAAGCGAGTGCCACTGAAAACCTCCCTCACCTTTCCCTTTGCAGTGTATGAATATTTTTCTGATTAACCCTTCTTCGGTTTTTCAAGCCGTGTTGACATGAGTCAGACAGGCCCTCGCTTGGAGAAGAAAGCCAAAATAATATAAAAATTCTTAGTAAGGCAGTTAAAGTAATTGAATCATGAGGGTTTCCTTCAAAGAAGGTTAGTATCTCCCCTTCACCTTCTTTTAGGACTTGCTCTTCCACTCCTATGTTAAATGACCTTTGAAAACTTCTACTGATGCTCCTGCTGCAAAGTGTGTTCAGAGCTAGAAATTCGTTAACCCGAAAGGTGCGTGGTGGACACAGCTCATGGTGAAGGCAAGGAGCACTGATACAGCATTGCATTTTTGCAAATAGATACATCTGTCTTGGGACAGGATTTGTGAGCATCTAGAAACACACAGCACTACAAAAAACAGCATTAAGCAAGAATTTCTCAGATCCTATTCTGAGCAGTTGTTCTTTTTCCTATCTCTCTTTCTCTATTCACAGCATTATGAAGTCCAACCTATGAATCTCTGTCTTCTCTACAGTCTTTCATTCTCTTGCCAAATCCATTCACTTTTGAAGTGAGCTTCTCATCCTGCTCATCCCTTTCCTGCTGCTCTTGTTTCAGTTGCTCACACCAGCACTATCCTCACAGCTGAAGACCATAGAGCCATATAGTGCCTGATCCAGAGCTCGAGAGATTTTGTTACTGTTCACTCTGAGGAGCTTTGGGTCAGATTCATCACTAAGAGCTAGTGAATTCCTCCATGAGTAAAATTATGTAGTCACAGATGATTCACAGTTTGTGCTGTAATGTGCATTCTAAGAGACAGCTTCATTTTTTTAACTTCTTAGGCTTACTTAAAAGCCTAATCAATATAATAAAATACAATATACACTGATATTTGTTCTTTGTTTGTTTTGTTTTTTAAACAAAATTTATAAGGCTGCCAAGGCATATGATTTCACTAGCTTGCTTTGTTAACCTCTCACGAAAAACAAGCCTGCAAGAAACGTTGCCATTGCCGTCACACATTGCCGATTTGAAGTAAGGATTTTCAAGAATTTGCGCTGTCTTTTCTTACGGAAAAAGTCTCATATCTTCTATTGAGATAAATGTCTCCAGGTATGTATTCTGATGCAGGCAGTAGAGGAGAGAAATGAGTTCACCTGCAAGAGATTTCCGAGTACGCTGCTGCTCGTACACTACTTAGCTACCAAAGCACGGACGAGTTGCCTAATTTGTTAGTAAAGTTCCTGGGAATTATGTAAAAATAAATATAGCAGTCAAAAGGAGGGTGGATTCATGCGGCTCTGTCGTGATTGATGTGACTTGCCTGGACCTGACATTTGTTAGAAGGTCTGTTCTTCCTCTAGCAAACGCGATCAGAGGTTTCCAGGCTGCAAACAGCTTGTTGGCTCTAATACAAGCCTATTTCAAAATACCCAGATTTATATTTTCCTTTTGTGCTACCTCTGTACAGGAGTTGCAGCAGTGATTCAGAGCCTTTCCACGGTCTGTTGTTTTCTTTCTCTGCGTAACAGTTTTCTACCCTGCACGTTCAGTATATAACTGTGCAGGCTGGAAAACAGGCTTTACTATGTGCAGTGCAGCAAAACCGAGGAAGCTAAAGCAGCGGGTCGCATCTTGACTCACAAGAGCTCTATCCCAAGTCCATGGAAGTCAGTAGAAAGCATCTCATTTATTTCTTTGGGGCTGTATTCAGTGCTGTTGTTTCACCTCCCGCCAAGGGTTCAGGCCAGTGACTGGAAAGATGACGTGATCCTTGGCATATTTTCTGATCTTGTTATTTTGACCGCAGCTCTGTGGAGACTGGAATGAAGACCCTAAAACGGGAGAGGAAATGAGCGGTGTTGCTGTAACGTGTCGGCTTGGCACCGAGGGAGTTAGATACAGCTCGGGCTGCAGGTAGCCTTTAGAGGACTTGGCAGGAGCAATGTGATCACACAGAGAGCCAGGAAAAGCCAGTAAAGGAAGAGGGCAAGACTGTTTATATCAAAAACACTTGTGGCAGGCAAGTAGCAACTGTGTCGTCCTCTGTACTCCCCTGTGAGCAAGTGCTCGGAAACCAGCGGGCCAGCTGGGCTCAGGGGTCTTCCTGAAGGGCCATGATTCTGTTTTCTAGAAGATGCTTCGGTTGTAAGCCCAGCAGTGATCAAAACAAAGCCTACCAAGTTCGTTTAAAAGCCAGCGTATTTTCAATTTCTAAATAATATTTTTATGCTGCCATTAATCTCTGCAGCTGTTAGTGTCACAGAGAGAGGCTTTAACTGCTGTTATTAGTGCCTAGCCCAAGCAGTGTTTACAAGACGTGCCTATTTTGAGCCTGGAAAAATGAGTTACCGAGAAGAAAGAAGATTCTACATTTAATATGCTTTCTGTTCCAAGCGTTGCAGTGAAGCAGTCATGTTACTGAAAGATCCTATTCTCTCCCCTGTTCTTTCCCACACCCCTGTTCCTTTTAAAATTTGCACCAGTGAGGAAAAACAAGTGGAAAAATGGAAGCAGCCACGAGAGTTGGAGGGGGAACGTGGCCACGACTGTTTAACTCCAGAGCAGCAAATGTGTTTTGTAAGGGGGCAGGTTTGGCTGCCAGAAATACCACTCCCAAGAGGATGTGCTCGTCTCGGCCGCCTAGGTGCGAGCTCTGCACCGTCCTTCCTGGGTCGAGGGAAGGATCTGCATGCGGGGAGCCTTTCCTGCCTTTGCACTGTGAGAGACTGTCCAAGACCTCTTAGTACCTTATAAATATATATTTTTAACCTGTCCTGCCTGGATCATCTAGTCATGCTGAAACTGAAGGCTATTGAGATAGATAAAGCAAACCTGGAAATGCCAAAGTAACTTAGGAGAGTTAGTTTCACTGAAATTCAGTGATGCTTTTCATGTTATTAACAGTTTTTATCAAAATGAGCCCTTCCTTTTTTTTTTTTTTTTTTTTTTTTTTTTTTTTTTGGGGAGAAAAACAAGACGGGGAGGGAGGGGGGGAGAAGAAACAAAGATGGTGATTACCTCCCGAACAGTTTGCATCAATGTGGCTGTGCAGTCCTAGGAATTTAGGATTTGGACTGAAATGAAAGGAAACTCAATATTTAGTTTCAAAGAACTTTCAGAAAAGTTCATTAAGTTTAAAAAAAAAAAAAACACTGTTTGCAAAGGCATTGCATGTTTTTTGCTTGTTTCTTTCAAAGGAGTAAAACTAAGTAAATCCAAAACCACATTTGTGGTTAAATCAGATTTCAGTTAAAGTTTGTAAATAAGCACCAAGTTATCAAAGCAAGATGTGCTGAAGTTGTCAAGGAAAAAGCTGCAGGAGAGCCCTGCAAATTTGGCAGTGATCACCTATGCTCCAATTCGAGTCATGTTTCAAAAGGCGTGAATCTCTTGAGCATAAGAAACTGTGATCAAATATGTAGTGGTTCCTTAATTTGGGATGGGAGCCGTTTCAGGGACCAGATATCCAACGCATGTTGAGAAGTGTTGATTATATAAAACACCACAAAAAGGACTTTGTTATCTCCAAAGTGCAGTTACAGCTTCACAGTGCGGGAGAGGATGAAATGTGTTTCCGTGCTTCTCTCGCCATGCAGCTCTTCGAGCGTGGCCCTCATGTTGGCTGGGAGGATCTCATGGGGGCCTGTGCTCACAGTTCCTAGTTCAATATGTGCCATAAGAGCTTAGCTTGATATTTGCTGCCTGAGTTACCTCTCAGTCTATATGGGAGAGATGCAGAGACTGTTATAACAGGCCCTTACAAAGGGCGCCATTCTAGCGAGGTATTTATTATGGTGCGGTGCGTGTCCCATGGTGTTAGCTCTGTATAACTTCCGAGGGGATCCAAATCCATTTCAGCTCCATTTTACAAGAATGGCTGTATTGAAGCTCTTTTTTTAATCCTTTGAGTGTCAGCCAGAGTAGTATCCAACACACAAGAAAATGTATTTTTCTGTGATGTTTATGGCACAACTCCCACTCCCAGGAACTTGAATGTGCTTTGCGTCGGGTACTTATCCATTTGCTCTTTTTGCTCTTTTTTTTTTTTTCCTCAATGCACCCAGATAAGGTATCTTTAAATAAATATTTGCAATAATCTTCATTTTCTGCAGAATGAAAAAGTTAAGGCGCATAGACTAGGAAGGAAGCTATATTTGGAAAAAAGTCAAATTCAGGCTTTAATTAGACTTTTTTTTTTTTTTACTAACAATATAATAATTGAAAGTATTTTCCATTATGTAAGTAAACTAAGCCCCATTTAATTAAATTTTATCTCTGTAGGAATGGTCAGATGAAGTGTTCAGTCTGGCAACGAATTTGTTGGCACAGAACATGTCAAGGGATGCATTTCTGGAAAAAGCGTAAGTAGTCGTAGTATTTATTGCTGTGGGTGTTACTCTGCTATCTGCGTCATTTTCCTTCTCTTGTTAGTCATATTGTCATCTATTGTTTATGCTTTGATGAGCTGTCACTTCTGTAAACATAGGTTATCCTTTCTCATTGTATTCAAAAGGCTATTAGCTAAACGTTGTTTTAAAAAAAAAAGTCTTGATAAGGTTCCTTTCACAAAGTACTGAGTCACAGCGAAAATACACTTTTTTTTAAAATGCCATCTCCCTGCAGCACACAGAAGTAGTTTGAGGCTTGCTGCTTAAATACCAAGAATTCCAAGGTGACCTGCTTTTAGTTTATTTTCCTTTCTTTTGGTTATTGATCAAAAAATGAAAACTGCTGGAATTCCATTTTCCTGAGTTCAATATCTCTGATTTACAGAGAAGCTGTAAATGTGCTGATCTAGGTTGGTTTGCATAGTACACAGATTTCTAGCTACTTTCAGCAAAGTGCAGAAACTGTTATGGCAAATTTTGGGGTGTAAAAAGAGCAGGCACCTCAGAAATGAGAGAACTAAATCTAAGATTAGCGAGTATCTAAGGAAGGATAACTGCACAGGCTGAGATGGTTTTCCTCCAATGATATGGAGACAGCATGGCGAAGCGGATGACTGGAGTGTTCAATAGCCTTGTACTGTTACAAAAGGGAAGATATATTGTCCCTGGCTTACAGGATGAGTGGCTATGCTCAGCTTTTTCTTTTCCCTTGAACAGCTTATGGTTTCTGCTCATAGAAGGAGAATCTTTCCACTAAGTGTAGGCTTGGGTTCCTAAAACGTGCCTCCATACAAGAAGCAAGTTTTCTGGGCTAAGATGATGCCTGCCTGCCTTCGTTAGCTGCATCCATATTTAGACAGAAGGTTCCCTGGCTGCTTAACTGCAGTCCCACACCATTATGCAGAAGTGCCTGTTCCGTCCTTTGGAAGGATTAGTTTGCTCTCTTCGCTTTCCCCATCAGGAACATGGGCATAAAATGCCAACTAGGCAGTGCTTACATCGGATTCCTAAACTACCTGCTAACCCCAGATTAGATTTCCATGCAGCTCTGTGTGAGAACAAGGACAGAGATTCCTGCAGTCACCTCCACTCGTTGTAGGTGAGTTACAGGAGTGCTTTGATGTCGCTATTTCTTTGCTCCTTTACCACTCAAATTCCCAGGTGACCGGTAGACTTGGCTGATGGGGGCACAATGGGGAGGACTACACACATTTTCACAGAGCATTCAAAGAAAGAACATTTTATCCTACAGTATAGCATTTTTCTATGATTATTCAAGCAATATTAATTAAAGATGAAGTCACTGGACACATTGAGTAGACTGAATAGCAGGCAAGCGTGGTATCCCTGTGTCTTTTCTTTTTCCACTAATTAATAAATCACTTGGGAACTGTTGGGTTTCCAGGGTCATTTGCACAGATGCCAAATCAGATTCAGTTAAGTAATCTTTGACTTTGAAGTTTAAAAATACTTGCCTCTTGTAATTATTGTACTGAGCAAAAGGTTGGCCGCAGTCCTGTCAGAAGCCTTTTGTTGAAATAAAAAACCACTTGCCTGAAAGCAGAATTAGAAAGGCATTTCTCTCTGTAGCATTCAGTCCCTTGCAGTATTGGAAGTGCATTCATAACAAGTTTGAGCAGATTTACTGTGATTTAGTCAGATGAGAAAAATAGGGTTAATTCGGGGGCTGGACGGTGCTAATAAAAACTGGCATTTTGGATACAAAGTGCTCATTAATCTCTTGTAATTGTGCAGCCTATTTTTTGTGTGGGTACAGAAATTAACCCTGAAGTGCAGTACTGCTGGAATAGTAACTACTGAAGCGATTAGCAAAGGATGAGTCCATGTGGGTAACCTTGGGGCAGTGTTATGTCCGAAGGGTGTCAGTTTTGGAGTCAGGCAGTCACTGTTGGAATGAGTCCATTTAGCTGCTGCTGGGTGTATCCCTCAGCAGCCAACTTTGTAGCCAGAGTGGCAGGTCTGGCTTCATGGGGTGGATGTGACTGTGGGGGCAGCAACTAGGGCTCCATGGCATCAAAGACTTTGAGGGAGAAAAAGGTGGCTAGTGCTGCTGGAGTGTGGCTGTTCTTCTGGCACAAATGTTTTGGTTTTGCTTTCACTATTGCTCAGGACCTCAGGATTTGCGTATTTTTGCTTTATTCCTATTTCTAGCCTTCTCAGTTATAGAGGAAGACATTAAATTCTGCAGTACTTCAAAGTTAAAAAGAAAAAGAATAAATAAAAAGAAACCCTTTTCTAATCACTGTGATTTTTTGCAATCTCAAAATCTCAAAAAAGTATTTTTTTCCTAAATACTTCTCTTTGGTGACACAGTAGCACAGGAGATTCCAGTTTCCACAGGAGGCACAGGAGGAGACAAGGATTGGAGAACACCTTCCTAAGCTAGTTAGAGGTTATAGCATGTGCTTTGTTTTTGGTGCCATTGCAGGCATTGTGAGTAGAGGGAGAAAAGGAGTGTTTATTAGAACCATGACCGGTGGGTTAAACAAAAAAGTAAAAACATCTCTGAAACTTTTCAGAGTCACCACAGTTTTCACCAAATCATGTTACCATAAATCTCATTTATAGTTTTAAACACATTCTAGTGGAACAGAAAATATGCTGCAAAAAGTTCAGCTCTTCTGAGGCTGCTTTTTAGTCCTCACGTACAAGGAGAATCAGCACGTAATAGCTGTAGGTCCAAACTGCTCATTAAAGCTCCTGGATGACTCCTATTAGACTTGGAGCCAGGATGCTAAAGGATTTGAACAGAGCGCGCTACATCGTCACCCTACTACACTAATGAGCATGTGAAAGGAATCACAGGCCCAAAGGTATGGGGATGCTCTAAATACTTAGTTCAGAAGTTGTGTAATTGCCTGACTGTAGACAGTTTCCGCTTGTAATTTTTATATTGCTTAGGACTTCTAAGGTCTGGAGCTTGCTGTACACATTTAGGCTCTTGCTGGCCTGGAGCCATCTGAGCTGGCAGGGATTTGCCATGTTTTCAGTGGAGGGCTGACAAGGTTTCGGGTCAGTGTCCGCGGAGCGCTCGCAGGTGTCGAGCGGCGAGGCCTGGGGGAGGCCGGGCCGCTCGCATGCAGCATCCAGGGGTGATTCCGGTCCTGAGCGCGGGCACATAAGGGATGTTAGTGAGCTGCGAGGAGACAGGGCGTGCTCAGAACATACCCATCACTTCAGCCCGAGCATCTTGCCCCTGGGCTGCACCTTTCATGCCTGTGTTCAACCACCAGGAAAAAATAATGTTTTCTTGAAGCTGCGCACAGGAAGAATAACAGCTGGGAATACCGACAAGGCGTGATGCAGAGCAAGCTTCCAGTCATAGCAGCGAGCGTCTCCCAGCAGTGAAATCCGCTGGGAGGTGGATCTGGAGGAGATGGAGCTGAAACACTGGTTATGCTGCCCTGGGCCTGGCAGAAAGGAAGCAGCCTCCTTTGGCAAAAGAGTGGGCTGGCTGGTAGCCTGGGCCCCTCTGTGTCTGTCCTCTGTGATGTTATGTGGCTTAGACTTGGGCCCTTGTGTGAGTGCAAGAGGGAGCTCGCAGGGAGTATGAAGTAGCTTATGCAATATTGTATTACAAGGTGGATGTTACTTGACACACCAGCTGCCTTAGCCGTATTGGAAAAGTTGATTACTCGTTGACGATATCACGATAGGTTTTCATATAGTGAAAAAGAACCGACTGAAACTTAGGAGAAGTGATCAGAGCGGTAGGGTTGGACTTTGGGATTGTGTGGAGAAATATTTTTAAATGCTACAAAAAATAAAACAGAATGCTTTTCTCTCCACAGTTACACAAAACTGAAGCTGCAGGTCACTCCAGAAGGGCGTATTCCTCTGAAGAAGTAAGTTCTATTTCTTTTTTTTTTTTTTTTTTGGATAAATATGTTTTGGGGATGGAATCCTTATGTCTGAAATAATCACGTATCGGTTGTTTCTAACACGCTTTGAAGAGGTCACTACAGCTTCACTGCTGGGTCACTGCACCCCCGGTCTCCCTCACGAGGCAGTTCTGCAGTGTCTGTTCCACAGGCCTCAGCAGCGCTGTCAGAGCGAGGGGTACCTGGCCAGGGACCCAGCCGAACACAGGGTTGGTGACACTCAGGTGCCAGTGTGCAAATAACCTCTGGGCATGGAATGCCTTAGTGATCTTGGGCCAGACAGCCCCTCTGCTCTTGTTCCAGTTGTATAAAATAAGAAAACAACAATTTTTTTTTTGCCTTGGACACATATTGTGGGGATAAATGTATTCACATATGTGCTGCTCAGGTAATGCAGTGAAGAGAGCAGTGGTGATTTTCTGATATGACTATTCAGGGCAATAGGGGCCTGTGTGCAGTGGCATTAAACTTGCTGAGGGCATAGTTAAACTCATTTGCAAAAATGAGCAGCAAACAAATGGGAATGCATGTTTGGTCACTGCTGATTCGGTCTGTGTCTGAACAGGACACCGGGAATAATAGCTAAATAGCTAACTTAGCTATTTAAATATTTAAATAACTAATTTAAATAGCTGAAGACATGATCAACTTGGAAATGTTGGTGAATCTTTCAGCCACATGGAGAGCATGGTGTCTTTGAGCCAACCCGTTGTTCCTTTCCATTTTGCAGCATATACCGCTTGTTTTCCGCTGACAGAAAACGGGTAGAAACTGCGTTAGAAGCCTGTAATCTTCCATCTTCCAGGGTAAGCATCTGAATTTATTCCTGGCCCCCACAAAGTGCTGAATACTGCGCCCATTCTTAGTAGTTTTATCACACAGAATTTTTGATATCCATATGCAGATCAAGTGTCTTTGCTTTGAAATTGTGTAGCGAACAGAAGTGCCTGAAAGGAGTGTGAATGGATTAAAGGAAGGGGCAGAGGGTTTTGGGTCCAGTCCTGGAGGAACCCTACAAGAAAATTTTAACATGCAGTGACCATTATACAATTGTCAAGGCATGACTCCAGAGGAAGATCAGCTTAAGGTGTAACTAAAAATGTGGTCTGTTTCCTGCTCACAGGAAAATTTATATTTTGAGTTAAGTGACAATTTAAACCCAGTTCAGTTTGTCTAAAAGATTCAGTGAGTGAATATTCAAAAGCCATACTTATATACCAAAGCTGTGGGCATGCTGCCATTGGATGCTGCTGCTGTCGAGGGTCTACCACTCCCTCAAAAAGGTTCATTAAAGTGGAATGAGCAGATGATTTTAATTAATACTGTAGAGAAGACACTGCCCATGGCCTTTCCTCTAAAGTGCAAATTTCCCCTCCCAGAAGCTTCTTCCAGGCAATGGAATACCCATGGAGGTCCAAGAGATGGGGCAGAGCCCTCTATAGTGGAGGAGAGCCTGTATCTCCTAATCCTTAGCTTTTTGTAGAAAACTTTGTACTGTGATGTTCACCCAGCCTTTGCTTCAAAGGTCATTTCTTAATCGAGGTGGTCCTAGCACTTCAGAAGAGTGATGGAGCAAAATCTTCACAATCCAAACCACAGACACTCCTCACCAGTCAGGCCTTCCATATCACTTGGGAGCTTTATTGTATAAAATTCCAGGGAATGTTTGTAAGATACATGCAAAAATTATAAAGATCTCAGCTAAAATAAGGTATCTAACATTTTACTGTGTTAAATAGGTGTTTGACTAGTTAAAAATGTTATGAGGTTAGAAACCTGAAAAGATGCATTGGGTTTCATTTAGTTGCTTGACACAAGAGATGTCAAAAATCACTGAAGCATTGTTTTTTAACTGAGTTCATTTCTTGCTTCTGTTTATTGAATTTCAGTGAAGATTTAAAAAAAAAAAATCTTACCTCTCACCAAAAAAACCCACAATCACTGGAGTCCTTGAAAGAAACCACAACATTTTGCAGTTATTTATTTAAGCAGAGTCAATTTTACATAGACATGGCTGGATACTTGTTGCCGGGATACTATCTTGAAAATTATTCATAATACGAAGTCGATACTTTCTTTGTTTGGGACAAAAGAGAAATATGCTTCATCCCCTCAAAGAAATCTTTGTTGATTATCTTGGAAGGAGAATATTTTAGAAGCTAAGTGCTTGAAAAGCACAGAACTGGGAATTTCACAGAAGTAATGGGTTGGGAGAAAATCAGGGCTTTGACTACACTTCTCTTCCTTTGCGTTCCTGTTTATGTGAACAACAAAAAAAACCCTAGCTTCAACTTGCAGGTTCCTGCCCCCTTGTACCACAGGACAAGGGGAATTCCTCTAAAGCCCTGCAGGACGCTGGGCTCCAGCAGTGGAAGCCCCATGAGTGTCAGGGAATCTCCTTCAACTGGATCAAGCAGAATTATCCAGAATATACCCAAGGACATTGACAGTTTATGCTTTATGTTTATTAGTACTCATGTGTTGTGAAAAATACCTCTAAAGAAGTTGTTTTGTTTTTCATAAAGCATGATATAAAAAACATTTTTCCGATGCATTAGAAATATGTGGGACTTGCTGGCCTTGGGCATCCCTTGATTCTTTGCTGCACCTCTTATAAACTGTGAAACATAGAATCATAGAATGCTTAGGGTTGGAAGGGACCTCTAGAGGTCATCTAGTCCAACCCCCCTGCACACGCAGGGTCACCTAGAGCACGTGGCACAGGACTGCGTCCAAGCGGGTTTTGAAGATCTCCAGAGAAGGAGACTCCACAACCTCTCTGGGCAGCCTGTTCCAGTGCTCTGTCACCCTCACTGTCAATAAATTTTTCCTTAAGTTCCTGTGGAACTTTTGGTGCTTCAGTTTCCGGCCATTTCCTCTAGTCCTATCAGTGGCCACCACTGAAAAGAGACCAGCACCATCCTCTGCACTCCCTCCCTTGAGGTACTTATAGACACTGATTAGATCCCTTCTCAGCCTTCTCTTCTCCAGGCTGAACAGGCCCAGCTCCCTCAGCCTCTCCTCGTAGGGCAGATACACTCGAAAACTCTAAGCCACAAGATGAATTTCATAGTCAGAAGTAAGTGGATGCCAGGACAGCATGGATCAGTCCTACCTCCTCCTGACTCATAACTTGAGGATTGAAACAGCTCCCCGTAGACCTTTATGGCAAGCCATGAACTGAGCTGCGCTGCCAGGGGGGTTTCCACCGCGTGGCCTTGTTTGGGGCACTGTGCACGTCAGCACCGGTTAGCTCTTCTCCTTGGGGGTGCCCAGCGTCGCCTCTGGGGACAACATGTACCATGGCAGGAGTGGAAGGGGAGGAGGAATTCACATTGCTGTGAAGTTTCCACTCCTCCTGCTCTAGAAGAGTAGCACCAAGGAGATCCCCCTGCGGTGCCTCAAATCAACTCCTTAATTCATATTTTGGAACCTTACTAAGGGATTGATTCTCTGCAGTGTTGAGCACTCCAGTCCTAATTCAGCCAAGCTGTTCAGCATGACTGCAGTGGCATGACTCATGGACTTCAAGTTAAGCACGTTTTAAGTTAAGCGTGGATTTAATTTATTTATTTTCTGGATTGGACCTGGGATGCTTAAAGACTTGCAGCAACTCACCTTCTGTGATCTTATTTTGCAAAGCATTCATTGCCCAACTGATCTCAAACTAGGTGAATGTTTAAGTGATGTTTTAAATGAACTCTGAAAAATGCCACTTAAATAGAATTAAGAGCTTTGTTTTAGTCACTTGTCTGGCTATAAAGACACTGGTTTCTGGTCTCTGGTTAGTATAGAGGTTTTCAGTCAACTGCTGGTGAGGGTGACTGGTATCTCAAAAAAACCCAACCAGCTATTGAGTCCTTTCTGTGCAAATAATCTAAATAACTGTTACACTATTCAATGAGTAAGAGGATGAATATCAATGAGTAAGAGGATGAATACAGATGTTACAAAAGCAGGCAGGTTTTATTGAATGAGTAAGAGGATGGATACAGATGTTACAAAAGCAGGCAGGTTACCGGACAAATCGTAAATCAACAGTGCTTGAAAGTAATAGAGAGTCTTAATCACAAAAAAAAATGAATGCCAGTATGCCGCTAAGCAAAAAAATAGATGCCTTTTTATGTTACAGAAAGTTTGCAATTTGCTCATTGGTCTCAAAAAAAGATTAACACATAAGGTGTGTGGGTGTTTCCACTGATACGAGGATGGCTCAGACCAGGAGGTTGAAAGGGACAGTATATTTTAATCCCTTTTGGCAGGATTTTGCAATCCAAATATAGAAGTTGTCTGAAGCTGTGCCTGGGGTGGCAAAAATATACAGCAAGGCTTTGTCTTCCATCTGTAACTTTGTGTTTTGTAGCTCACTGATTATATTACTGGTAGGAAGTAAGTAATTATTAATGGATCCTGTATGTCTGCCCAAAGACTTGTACTGCTTATCCTTTTCATGGATACGCATGGTAAGAGGTTGGGAACTGAAGGATATCTTTAAATCAGAATGAAATGACAAATAAAAGTGTACCAAAGCCTGAATCCTAGGTTATCAGAAAGGACCCACATTTTGTACCATGTTGAGTACCTTCAAATTCCCTTAAAAGGGGAAAAAAATATATAAGGTCGGAGGGTGATTGTAATTCTGTGGTAATTAGAGAATCAATGTCTACAATGCCCTGAGGAGAACCACTGGCTGAGGAACAGTCGCCTGCTGCGTAGTGATTATGGACACACTGAAGGGGACAAAGCGGGGCGCCTGCTCTGATGGTGCCTCTGCTCCAGGGCCGGGTCGGAGGAGGCAGCTCTCGGCTTTGGCAGCTCCTGCTTTGCTCCACGGCCTCTTTATCTGTCCGCTCTAGTCAGAGGTTCGTAACAGAGGCAGAAATGACGAATGAGGAAAAACACAGTTGCCACAGCACAGTGCCAGGGCAAAGCCTGTGTAGCTGGGGGTCGCTGGGAGCTTCTCCCTTTGGTGCAGCCGGATGCCCCGTGCTGCAGAAATGCCCCTTTTCAAGCATGACTCGGAGCTTTGTGGATGCCCAGGGTGTCGCTGTGACAGCCCCTTCAGCTCCATCCCCTCTGAGGCTGCTGCATTCGTAAAGCTGCTGCTTGCAGACTGTGCCCACACAAGCAAACCGTGGTTGCAGGTGCCAAACAAATCAAAAAGCTTTCTGTATTTTCATTTTTTTTTAACTCAGCTGTGTAAAATTAGTTCTCAGGAACTATTTTGGTTATAATGTGTTGTGACTCGTAGTATTTAGCGTAATTTGTAAATAATGTGCTTAAACAGGTGTAGCTACATTTAAAGAGAGAAATAGATACATTAGTAACTGTCTTTGGTTTGGGTTAAAAAAGGAATGTAATTAGAGCAACATATGTCACCCAGGCATGCTGAGAGTCATCATTAAGCATTTTGTCCTCAATTTTAATTTGGAGGCTTTTTCTGGTTAAGAACAGTACGAAGCAAAGCAGGAAAGGCTCTCAAGACATTTTGTGTAGTGTACGTGTGCCCGGTGCATCAGCAGCAATCCCGTTTTGGCCATGATCTTCCCCAGACTTACGACCACAGCAGGCTGCGGCTGGGTCCCTTCTTCATCAGGAGGCAAAACTCTTAGCAGCACCGAAACCCGCACGAGGCCTTGCCTGCTCCAGCTTGGCTTCAGGCTACGCATCCCAGCTGTGCACGAGGGGGCCTTGGGGTCGGATAACCCCAAGATGGGCCTCGCTGCTGTTCAGCTCAGGGATTGGGATGCTCAGCAAAGCCTGTGAGCGAGGGCTTTGCTGGGCACAACCTGGTGTAGCACCCGTGTGCGAAAATAGAGGGAAGGAAGGTGAGCTCAGAGCTGCTGTCCATGGGCTCCCTGAGATCCCTGGGGAGGAGCAGCTGGATGCCCGGAGTGGAGCAGGGCCAGCCCGGGCACGGTACAAACCCCTTTCGGGCTCCTGCGGCTTTCAGAGAGGGAAGGAGAGATGGAGAGGCGTCCGTGGCATTTCGTTAGCCAGGGCAGGAAAAATATTGGAAAGTTTCCTTCCTGCTGCCGAAGGCTGGAATAGGCACTTCCGGTTCCCTTGGCAACTGCGTTAAACAGGCGGAATAAATAAAAACAACGATTTCCTCCATCAGTGGCTTTCTTCCAGCACGAGGGGGTTCAAGAGCGTTTCAAGGGAAGCAGCTTTGTGCCCAGATTCCATTCAGTTATTCTTCTCTGGTTCGCAAGAATCGAGCCGTGGAGAAGCAGAATATGATTCTATTCTGCTTCCAGCGACTGGATTTCACAGCTTTTGATAAAATGAGCTCAAGCAGTGGAAATTCAGTATCCAGGCTTCTATATGTGCATACTCCCTGTTCTTGTGTTTTCGTTTTTCTTTTTTTTGATAAGGTCTCCTCTGCACAGAATAGGAGCCACCTTCCATTTTGGGGGTGCCCTGGCAAAGGCAGAGCCGGGGGCGCCCCACGGCACCCGGGGGGCTGCTCGGCCTGCACCTTCCCTAGGGCCCTCCTTTCCCCCCAGCCCCATGGAAGCAGCCGTCAGTGCTGTCTGCTCAGAGACCTCTGGGGCTCGAGGAGCTGCAAGGAGAGCTCCCGAGTTCCCTGCAAAGCACAGGGGATCTTTTCCATTCCAATATCCCCTCCAGTCAGACTCACAGTTTCAGCTTTTTGGGGAAAAAATGCTGTCAAGTGTAATGGGGGTGATATTAGTGCAAGCTGGAAGCAAGATTGAAAGAAAAGTGTTCTAAATTTTAAATAATGGAAAAAACCCCACAAAACTACTATCTCTTATATAGGGAAACATGGCTACCAGTTTCGGTAAAGCAGCCCGGCCTCCTCATGAGTGCCGTGAATGCTCAGCACAAAGACGCACGGAAAAGTGGCATTGCGTGTGGCTTTCCCGTAACGGCCACGTCCTCAGCGTGCATCTGCAGGAGGGAGCAGGGGAAACTGCTGCTCCTCTCGGAGAGCAAGGTTATTAATAATGACTCAGTGACCCAGTTCATTCCCAGTTCTTTGAAAGCTTTAGGAAGACAAGTGATCTGCTCTTCCTCTCAGCACCGTTGCTTTATTTCCTGCACCCCTGCCTGGCCAGATCCCCTTTGCTCCTGCTGGGAGTACAGTTAGAAGCAGCACCAGGATTGCTTAATATTTGTGCTTAGCTAACTTACCTGTTTACATGGGGGATGTCCTTTCTCCTTCATATGTGCTCAGAGAAAGAGATAACTTTTCATATGGAAGCTGATGAAAGAATTTATATTTTTGAAAGATGCATTCTTTGCGCTGCTGTGTTACTTGGGAGAATTTGCTACTCTGAGAAATCCGTGCCCCTCGGAGTGACAGGAAGGAAATCCAAAGCAGCACAGTAGGAAGGGCTCTGTTTGCAGACTGAGGATAAACGTGCTGTTCCTTTCATTCACTGTGTCTTTCCTTTTCACAGAATGATTCAATCCCTCAAGACGACTTCACGCCTGACGTGTACAGGGTGTTCTTAAACAACCTCTGCCCTCGCCCAGAAATCGACCACATCTTTTCCGATGAGTTGTAAGAAAAGACCCTTGTTTTTTTTTTCCTCTTCACTGATTTTCTGTGCTAGGGATGGCAGAGCAGGTTACTGAGCCTCTACAGCACCATGCAGTGATTGCCAAGGACAATTTCAGTGTCAAAAAGGGACTGTCATTTAACCTAGGAACAAGAGGTCCTTTTTACCCAAGCTTTTGCCTCCCCTTCTCATGAGCAGAGTTTTACAATAATTTGTTCCTAGAGGAACAGAACTGCCGAGCCTTCATTTCTGTATGGGTTATGATAGTTTAGGCCTCCATGAAAGTGGAGGAAGAACGATAAGCAATAAGAACATGCATTAGGCATGAGAATATGTAGAATCACTCCCAAAAGCTTAATTAGGAGCCGTAAAAAATGTAGGAACATTTAGGATTTGATCATCATGAATTTACACTATGAAATTAAAATAGCAACCAGCTAAAGTTGGTTCATACATTCAGTTGCAAGCTATAAAACTTCTGTTGCACTATTTCATGCTGCTGCTGCTCCTTGCAGCAATTCACTGTGCTTCCCAATTTCAGCAGAACCTAATCAATGGAATCAGAAGTTGAAGCAATATAAAGGCACAGTAATTCAGAAAATACATCCCAAGACTACCAGATGAATGCATATTTGCAACCTGAGTGTGCAAACCTACCCCTTTCATGCCTTTTTTTCTGTAAGGGTGGGATTTTAGCAGAACTTAATCTGCTAAAATCCCACCCTTCTGTAAGGGTGGGATTTAATTTCCTCCCACTGAACAGCAGACTTTCCACTTCTTCCTCTCAGAATGGAGCTAGGCGTAGTCTTGATTTAATTTGCTCCCACTGAACAGCAGACTTTCTACTTCTTCCTCTCAGAATGGAGCTAGGCCAGCGACAAGCACTGAAGAAAATCCTAAGTACATCCCCTGTTGAGAAGACTTCCCAGATCTCCATCTGGGTGCAAATTGTGCTCAAAATCTGTACTCTTTTTGAAAAATCTGCAAGTAGGCATCATTCTGCTTGCTCTGTAAAGTGCCTAACATTTTGTTTTTTTGCATCTCTATAAAACAAGCAAATACTAGAATAATAAAATCAGGGCTGCTGTTGCTCTATAGTAAAACATAGTAGTTAAGCCTGGAATGCCAGTGGAGCATTTGTGGCAAGAACAGTATTGCATTCCATGTGTTCTCTTTTTAAAAAAGCTGTGTGGGAGCAATTTAGTAGTGATAAGCTTTTAGATTTGGTCTAGCTCTTCCCATTGAGGCCAGTAATGCTGAACACTTCTAAAAATCTTAACTCTTCGATGTTTAATGGAGAATGTTTGTCATTACATGCTGATAAGTTAAATTATTCTGGAAACAGAGCAGGGTGTAGTTTTTGCTGTGTAATAGTTTGAGTCTTGCTTCAGTTTCATATTGGGAAGTTTGAAGGTCCCCAAACTGGGAAATTACAGAATATTGAACAGGATTTTAAAGAAACATATTGTAATCACTTTGCTGTTGCTTCAATTTTTCCCTAGTGGTGCCAAGAGCAAACCATACCTTACTGTTGATCAGATGATGGAATTTATAAATTTTAAGCAACGTGATCCACGATTAAATGAAATCCTTTATCCACCATTAAAACAAGAACAAGTTCAACAACTGATTGAGAAATATGAACCCAACAGTAATCTAGCAAAGAAAGGTCAGTGGTTTTTATATTCTTACTCTACTCGGTTTCTGATTTGAAACAATAGATCCATTATTTTACAGCATAAGCTAAAGCAAACTGGTTCAGAATCAAATTTCATTTCCAACTATCTGCTTTTGGATCATACAAGCCTGTGAGATATCATGTGGTTAATTTTTAAGTATGTTTTGTTGGAATCAATGTAGGAAGGATGTACTAGTTAACTGTGTAGTTTGCAATATGTATAACTGGTGGTTTATAACAGTTGTATGGTAGACAAATTTAAGCATAAACTTTACTATACCAGTTGCTGTTTACTGACATCTGAAATGTAAAATTTAACGAAATAATCAGTGGCAATGAAACGAGCAAAAAATAATAGTCATTTAATACCACTAGTAGGTCCAGCCCTCTGCTTTCTGATAAAGTGAGATGTGAGAGAGTTTCATGCTATAATCACAGAAAATTCCTTTTTGAAAATCTTAAGGGTTGCCGGGGCTTTACTGGGCATTTTGCCAAAAACAGTGAGCGAACTCCTGCTCAGATCTCTGCACATAGGTTTTTACTACCACCACAAGTCTTAAAATTGCACTGACTTTGTGTTTGCCTTCTGTTTTATTCCAATCCACATATCATAATGACTACCTGTGCTTTTAATGTGTTTATACCTCAGAAATTTTAGGGGCATGGAAATATCTGGAAAAACAGAGCTGATAGGAAAAATCTGTTTTAGTTCAGAGACTTTGGACCCAGCCTCAGGAGTTGCTCAGCATCCGCTGAGAGCTCCTGGGCAACCTGGACTCCACGTCCTCGGTCCTTTGAAGAATCAGGGTCAAAATAGCCTCAAAGAGACAAAGCCCTTGAATCCCCGGTTAAATAAAACTATCAAGGTCCTGTCAGTGGCACATTATAAACAGAAAGACTGCTGATGTAAATGACGGTGTGATAAAATATTGCCAGCAGCTTGTAGCCAGATTAATTAAATGGAGGCCTTTGTGCTTGTAGTGTAGACTGACACAGATGCAATTCATGAGTTGGATGAAATCCCTCCTTGCTGGTGCAAGTGCAAGACTCTGTCAGATGATGTGTCTGGTCTGCCTGGTGTTGCTGTGGGCACGTTGTGGTTCTTTCACCCTCAAACCGGTGTCTCCACACAGCCCAGGGTGTCCCAGGCAGTGAGGGTTTCGGAGGCAGGAGAAGCTGTCCTCCTCTGTGTCTGGAGTGCGTTCCAAGGCCTCCCCATTCACTGTGTGTGTAGAGGGCTGCCCCTTACACATAAATAGATGCCTTCTGCACACAGAAACAACATGCAGTGTGTAATACTAGCAGGATTGGGAGTGGAGGTGGGGTAGGAAGGTCATCAGCTGAAGTCTCTAGCTGGTGGGGAGTCTTTTGCAAACCACTGTGTATTTTGCCTCTCAAAACCTGTGTTTGGAAGAGGGTCTCAGCAGTGTGTCTCAGGCAGTGATCCAGATGTCTGCAGAACAAAAATATTCTGTTATGGCTTGCTAAATCTAACCCATAGGAGTCCTTAAGAAACAAACAAAACAAAAACAAAAGGCATCTTTTCCAAAAGTCTCCGGAGCTTATCCAAGGGCATTGATCGTGGTATATCTTCCCACTCCCCTGGTACCCCCACTCTACTCCCTGGAAGCTTGACCTAGATGTCTCCTTGTAGGTAAGTTGTGGCTACTCTTGATTTATCGATCATCTCAAACCAAAATATTTCCACTTTTTTGGAAAAGGCTTATTAATTTTTTTTAGTTCAAATAACTTCAGTGCTTCCAGAGATTGTAATTAAGGACTAAATCCTGCTTGTTTATCCTACTCGTGCATGTTTTTCTTTTAATATCAGTGAGAATAGTAGCACGGGTAGATGAAAGGGTGTAGCCTTCTCTCTCATCTTTGCAAATATTAAGCTCTTTGCTTACCTTATTTCACATCAGCCACAGCAAAGTCTGGTACATAAAAGATCATTCTTACTACCCAAATATTGGCACTTCATATAAACCAAATAAAAGATTTATTAGAAGAAGGTGTGCTAGTGTGCAGACAGAATGAAATTGCGTTCTCTTAGCAATAAGAGGAAGCATGAAACCAGCCTCAGAGAGAAGGGTCCTGTGATGGTATTTGCTGTTGTTGGCACGCTCCAAGTGCGATTTGTGGCACACATTTGCTGCAGGCAGTTGTTCTTCCTTAGGAGCCTCTCCTCTTGGGTATTTAAGTTATTCTTACAGAGCCAATTCTCACAGAAGAGAGTTTAGAAAGGAAGGTCAGGTTACAGCTAATTCTTGCAGTATTTTTCTGTTCAAACTTGTGCACTGATTTCCGTCAAGCTGGCACTAAGGTGATAAAACCTGCAGGCCACTTCCGTGCTGCTGCCAGCACCTCTTGATGAGCGCCCTGCAAGCCGAGCTGTGGCAACTGGCACATTCTCTTAGCCTGTCCGGGTCAAAATGTATGTCTGTTAGTTTAAGCTGACATTTTTAAGATCTAAGTGAATGCATTTTAACTTACAGCTGCGATAGGACAACAAGGTGCCTAGAGATGATTAGTGTGTTTCAGATGATGCGTTGTTAGATGATAAGGACTAGTAGCTGCCATAAACTGTCATGTGCCTATAGCCTGTATGGACTTTCAGAGTGACTAGTAAGTATGTAGCTTAAAACCATTTCTAATGAGCTTTGTACAAACAGTTTTAAGCAAAGTAAGAGCATCTAAATGTGGTTGCTCTGTTTATAATCACAGCTTAACTTTGGCCAGTGCAAGATGGAGTGTAGATACACTCTGACAATCTCTCTGCCTGCGTGTATTCATCAGTACCATACGGAAAATGGGAAACATGTAGCCACAGAGCCAAGGAGTTCCAGCTGCCAGTTAAGTTCCATCTCTAGTAAATTAATCTATAGTTAGAGCCCGGTCTGAGCTTTCCCCAAAGTCCAGAGCTATGCACTACACAGAAGAAGAACTAGCGCTGCTTTTCAAAGTCTTTGCATTTTTTAATCACCTATTAACTTGTTTGTTTGTTTTTTGGATTCCCCAAATCTTGAAAATGATTGATGAAGGATAAGCAAGTAGAATAGCTGTATTCTGCAGAGAGAGAAGAGTTAAGAGGTTGTGTTCTTTGGTCTATATTGCAAACACATTTATGTATTTCTGTGCTGAAAAGAGCAGCAATGTTAAGGATACCTGGTTGTAAAGACTGTGGTCTTTCTCCCCTAGATCTTCTGGCAGTTGAGAGAGAATGCATATAAAAATTCTGCCAACCATACCCCAATGCGTATCTGAAACATACTGTGTTAGAATTATAAGAATTGGCTAATCAGGAAGAACATGGGGACGCGATATTTTCTGTACATCTGCTTTAATTTGGGGATGCCAGTTCAGCGTATATTAAATGAAGTGTAGGTGTGTGCTCAATCCTACACTCGTAGGATAATTGCAAACAAATGCTGCATGTCTGTACAATGTCACCAAAATATAACAGTGCACATTCAAAATAATGATTTAACCTCCTAATATGGTGTTTTAAACGGGATTGTCACTCAGGCTCCACTGCTGTCACAGAGGATTGTGCACAGGTGGGAATATAGGGAAGGCAGAGTGAAGGGCTGACTAAAAGCTGTGCTTACCTGGACCACTGAGCAGAGGTGCTGTTTTCAGTAGACCTGCTGATGTTCAAGCTGCACTTGCTTGTCATCCACTGTTACACAGCCACAAACTTGCCATAACTTCCAAACTCTGCTGCTTAGACACTCTGCCATGTTCCTTGTGGTGGTGATCAAAGCCTCTTCATTTCTGTGGCCAAAGTAATGTGAGAGGTAAGGATAGAAGCAGGAGGTGTTTCTAATGGCTGATGTATCATCAGTTAAAACAGTAAGAGCAGGTAGAAACCTGAGGGTACCCAGACTCTCAGGTAAAATAGGAAGAGGACGGTAGCCTTCGTCCAGCATGGCTCTTGGAAAGCAAGCTCAGGAGCACCATGAGGTGAGATGGGCTTAGGGGGTTGGTCTCTGCGTGCTCCTGCATTTCAGAGTGGGTTGGAAGGGATCCCAGATAAAAAGCTCCTTAGAATTAATGGGGTGTAACAAGAAATAGAGGAGAAGCACAGGGAGGACATGAGTGATGGAACAAGGTACACCAGGGAAAGGTAAAAATGTGAGAAAAGCGATGAGCTGCAGCATGGGAGAATGACAAACAGGTGGCTTAATGAGCTTCTCACTGTTGTACCAGCACAATGCAATTAAACTAATTGGACTTTTGAAGCAGAAGAGAGAGAAGGGGCACAGCAAGTTTTGCAGAGGTTGAGTGTGAGAAGCAAGCTGGAGGGATCGACAACATCGTATTTGTATTTGTTCTTCCCTGGCACTGCAAAGTCACCCCTTTAATGTGAATCATGGATGAAGATACAGAACAAAAGAAATACCATGAAGAAACGGAAAGCTCTTTTAGAAGCTGTGATTTAAACACAGTATTCCTTGGCATGCTGAGCAATTTAAAATACTTCATGGTGGTAGAGACCAGCATGGTGGTTTGCACACATTAGATGATATAAATTGTGCTTCTTTGCAGCTTTTGTGCAAAGTAGATGCTCTTTTTTTCAGATTGTTGCATAGTGTGAACATGTACATGTGTGTGTGTGTACACGCAATTGAGTGCATGGGTGCATTGGGTGTCAGTGCATGTTCTTTCCAACAGCCTCTGCTCGTTGTTGTGTTTCAGGTTGACTCATTATTGAGGGAATTGAGTATATTGCAACAGAAGTTAAATACGAACATATGTGTAAATGATGAAGAGCTGTCCACTTGCATGTTCATTTCTGTAGCATTTCTGCATTTAATTATTTTAACATCTGATTCAATGTTCAGACTTCCAACTGAAAAACACTGATTAATGTTCAACATCTTCATGAAAAAGCTGAGCTCTTCTGTTGCATTCTAACTTTAAAGCCTCTGTAGCTGTTTTTTAAATTGCCCAAGAAAATTACTTTTATAAACGCCTGAAACAAAGTCAGT